AATGTCAACAGTATTTATAGGTTGTTCTTATAGAGTCTGCTAACTTGGTTGTCCAAGATTGTCTGGCAACCATTTGACATGTCCAAGATTGCACTGTTATGTTTGGGTTTTTATTCCGCTTTTTAGGTGTCGGTTTTGCTGAAGGCTAATTCATTTAGGTAGAAAATGAAACTGATGTTGCTACGAAACTGAATTTTGACTCTTGCATAAATCGCTTTGGGTTCATTCAGATATAACTTAAACTGAATTTGATGAGTCCTACTGTAATTTTAGTTTTTTTTAATGTTCATTACAACTAATGTCATATATATATATAAATAACAACCTGGAGGTCACGGGTTCGAATCGCTGAAACAACCTCTCTTTTTGTAAGAGTACAACTACATACATCTAACCCTCTACAGACCCCGCAATGCGGGAGCCTCGTGAACTGGGTGCGCTTTTTACAACTAGTGTCATATGTTGTGCTAATTCAATCAACTTATTATATCTCCGTTTTAGAGGTTGAAGAACTGTGACCACATACAAAGTTGATCTAGATGATAGAAGCTGAACTGTGATTTTTTCNTTTACAACTAGTGTCATATGTTGTGCTAATTCAATCAACTTATTATATCTCCGTTTGGAGAGGTTGAAGAACTGTGACCACATACAAAGTTGATCTAGATGATAGAAGCTGAACTGTGATTTTTCCATGAATTTAGAGTTGGCCTCCGTTCTTGCATGGGACATAAGACTTTCATATCAATAAGTTGTTTTCACCATTTTTCTATTTATGCAAACTGATACATTGCCATATAGTCAGCAGATTCTCTATAATTAAGTTCTAGAATTGCCTTGAGAATGTTTTAATCCAGTAGACCTATGACTATCATATGGACCTGCTCACAGCTTCCCTTAATCCTTTGATCCTTCATTCCAATCTCTGATTGAATTATTTGAAATTCACTTTCTATAGGGTGGTGAAAGCTCATAGACCACATCGAGCTCTTTTGGTGCTTGATCATTCTTCCTTTCTCTAGCTGTGTGTGTTCACATTGGGCAGTTTCTTGAATATTTGTTGTTATGGTTTTGTACATTTGCTACTTGCTTTGATGATTGTTTGCATGGCAATGAATTGGTGCAGTCATCAATGCTTAACGTTGCCATGATAGTGCCATTTGGGCTTTGATTAAGTAAATCATTTTCTCAAAAAGTTGTTATTTTTTGTATTTCTTCGTTTGGTTTCATTTATGGGATTATAACCAAGCAAGCAAAAATAAGATGTGTGTCTTTTATCTTACGTTAGTAATTTGAACTAGATTGTGTGTTTGAAATGAATTCCAAGAGAATGTGATTTTTTTATGGCTTGGTTTTTCTTTTTAGAAAATGTGGATTTCCAGTTTGGTCTGTACATGGGTTTAAAAATGATCAAGTGATATGGGTTGCGACTTTGTAATGTGGGATTGGAAAAAGTTTTGTAATATGGTTGCATTTGGTTCGTTATTTTGATTGAGTTGGAAAATTATGTGCTGGTTATGGATTAAATTGCATTTCCTTATCTGGTTGTGTTAGACCTCGACAATTTTCTGATTCCTTTGAAATGGTGCTCCCTGTAAATTGCATTTCCTTAACTATTGTTTGATTTGTTGTATTGGTTTTTCTTTTGGACCTTAATGACAGTGCCTTTCAGAATTACATTTGGATTTTAGGCTCCATAATGTTGGCCGAGTATGTTGGTCTAATTGAGGTTCTTTGTGGGACCATGACATGTTTGCGGAGCATGCCGCAGGTTCTGTTTCAGTTGTTGCTAATAGAATTGGGGGCTTGAATTCTGCTGTATGCGATAGAGTGTTCAACTCTTTTTGTTTTCACTTTTAAATGAATCTCTTGAAGATTTGTTCTAGTGACAATGATGTCATCTATGTGAATTTCACCGAAGGTTAGCATATTTTGAGTTTCATTTTTAATTGTTTCTTTATTGCATTTTTGGATTTTTATTGTTGCATTATGATTCAGTTCAAGTGTTTAGAAAAGGTATGATTCAGTTACATACACTCTTCTCTATATTGGAGATAAGTGTTCAAGTTTTACATATCACATTGGTCTTTTATGTCATATGCATATCTGGTGGACATGAATTTATTTGTGGTCGACTTTTGTTATTGATTTGATTCTTAAACTATTTTTTTTTTCGAATTTGGTGTTGGTGGTTATAGATATGTTTGGGATTTTGGATTTGGGTGGCGGTATGGTTGTTTTGGTCGGTGTGGGCTACGAAGACGAAAAGTTAAAATGTTCGATGTGGTTAGAGATCCTTTTCTTATCTCTAACACATGGGTTCTTTGATTTTTTTGTGTTTATCATTTGTTGACAGCTGTTTGTGAGCCCAAAGTTGAGTTGGTAAATTTTTCTTTTTTCCAAATTGTTGATTCATGCGATCAGACGTATAGATCAAAATCGTAATTGGTACATATATTCTTTCGGTTGATTTGTTGTCATGGATTGAATTTGATATATATTTGGGTTTATGGATATGTGGGCAAACAGTATTTTTAGAATGTTTTTTTGGTTGTGCTTTCGAGCGTATTTCTCAAATTAATTGTGCTTTTTGTTTACTATCTCTTAGCTCTTTATTACCATGTTTGGTGCTACTGAACATATATTTATAGTTTTATTTTAATCACAGTCCAAATTACATAAGCTTTGGATGTCGTGGAGCAAAGTACATTTTTTCCATTTAAAATTAGTAGGTGTCCAAGAAGGGATTAAACACCATTACTTTGAAGGGGTATTTGTGATGTGCTTGGGCTAAAGGGTTACTAATGTGATCACTTGAGAGGCTTTTTCTTTTAATAAGAAGTGAGGCTACTTTAAAGATGCGAAAACTTGACTTAATATACGAATACGGAATTTGTTAATTTTGTTGTTGCGACCTTTACGTTTGATTTTAGTTAAAGTAACTTAGTATTTGTCGTACAATTTTGTTATTTAAAGTAACTTAATACTAAATTGGATAACTCCTCCTTCGGCAACTCTCAATGTGGTGTTGTTTTAGGTGATGACACATTTTTGGGAAAAATTATTTAATTAGTTAAGAATTTGATTACGCTGGTGTTGATAGTGTGCAAAATGCTATTTTGAGGGGAAGTAAGCTTAATGGGGACAGGATTTTGAGGGGAAGTAAGCTTCCTTTCAATTCATTTGATTACTGTTGAAAGAAACTATTTGAAGATATTTTCTATTTGACTTGCATTATTTTCTTTAGATTTATGAATCTAGATTAAAGTTTATTCATTTGTATATCAAAATGGAGAATTTCTTGTATTACGGTGCTTTCAGGCATGGGTCCGTCGCTAATATTACTATAGATTGCTTCCATCTCTTGACTAGAGTTATACAAAATATGTAAATTTTTTGGTCACATTGATATCGATGTGGATCGTACCGAACAAAGTTCTCTGGAGGATAGTAAACATCAGTGGTTTCTCTAGTATTTTCAATTAAAAGTTTTACCATTTTTGATCTATTATCTGTAATCACAATATAGCAAACCTTAGATCAAGATATAACCAAATCTAAACGGTGGAGATGTTTTATGATTATAACCGCACCATGTCACAAAGGAGAAGAAGTATGAGGGACCATAGAGAAATACTAAGATCACGTGACAAGTTTATAATAAAAAATCGTTTATAATCTGGACGCTGTCTGCTTGAGGGACCATATAGAAATACTAGTTATAACCAGTGTCTGAAGACATGATAAAACAAAAAAAATTGAGCTCCAAAAAATCAATCTCATTATATTAAATATTAATTTTTCTTTCCTTCATTTTTTTGATTGCATCATTCAAAATTTATTTTTACCCATTATTTTCTTAAAAATATTGACAAAATTTTCTCAAAATACGTAATTTGATAAAATTTTCTCAACATATATATGCTATTGTGTTTGGATAATATTTGAAATAAAAATTATATTAAACTATAAATTAATCAAATATTAAATGATTGAACATGTGATAAAAATTGGTAACGTGATGATTTTGGGGGAGAAAATGTATAGGGGATAAAATTTAATTTCATATGCGTTTTATTATATAGATATTCAATATTTTAGGGACTAAAATGATGTAATTGAAATATTGAGGACTAAAATGAAACAAATTCTATATTTTAGAGACTTTTAGTGCAATTAACCCCGAAAAAAATGAGGTTAGGAGTTTGTTAAATAGAGTTGACGGTGAAATCCTGTTGCAAATGTTTCAGTTGGTCTTCATTGAATGGACTTGAATTTACAAGTAATATGATACTTATAGCTTGTCACAACATTTATACCCGGGTACCTGTGATAAATAAATGCTGGGACCCAATAAATAAGTAGTGAATCCTAATAAATATTGGGACCCACAGTAAAATCAATAGTTGAGATTATTAAGTCTATTTTTTAAATTCATATAACATTACTCTTTACATAATAGAATAATTCATTGTACATGTAGTTGGGGCCATGCCATTGCTATGAGTATTAATGGGATCTCCTTCATGAAAATCCGGGCTTCATGATAAACGTTTGGTGTAACGAAATGCATAACACAAATGTAAAAGGACCAGGGAGAAAGTGAGTGAGAAAAGACATGTATTCAGCATGTTTTGAATGACCAGGAATCTGCCAGGCTCTATGTGAAGTAATGAAGTGCAAACTGCAGCGTATACCTTTCGGCTACCTGGGAGGATTGTAGTGAAGCTGGTAATTTGGGGGTACATAGCCTTTGCTATTATCAGAATTGGTGAGCAAGTGATGGATCTTGTTCTGTTTCTGTGCATCTCTTTCATAGTTTGGTTATTCAAAGTTCTTCGATCGATTTTTGAGAGTGACTGCTACAATAATGGTACAAGCACTTGTCTTCTGGCTATTGGTATCTTATTATCCCCGCAATTTTATGTAGGTCAGGAACAAAACAGTCTGTTCATCATTGCAATAAGTTCCACTGGATGTGATCAAAATAACACTGAAACTCATTGCTGTCTCTTAGCTATCGCTTGGCAGGTTTGTGCAACCTTGCTGGAAGATGCAAGGTCGATGAAAGTTTGCCTATGACTTTGTTGTTGGAGGACAATGTGGTGCAATAACTTGTGTTGCTGCTTTGCAAGAATGACAATTAAATGTACTTTGAGAACCATGATTTGATCAGGGTAGCTCTCAATGGGCATATAGGCGTCCCAACTACAGTCAAAGATTTCATATATTACTTAGTTCACCATAGCACAAGTTGGGTTTCGGTCTGAGTAGATTGCGCTTCAATACTAGTCTGATCCATTTATCATGTGATTGAAGGTCTTTGATACATATATCTAATAATAATTTGAATCTGTGAATCCGTTAGCTTGACAAATAGTATTTGGATATAAATCAATACATAAGTACACCTCATAATAGACTAAGGAAGATCAACAGCTCTATATAGTACGATAGTAAATTCTTCTACACCACATTAGTTGTTGCATTGCTTGTCTAATTCTTCTGATTTTTTTTTTGTCATCACATTTCTATTTACACATCTATAATCTCTTTCAATGACAATGAACAAATAATAGTTCCAAGGATCACAAAAGAAAAATAAAAAATTGTGAAGTCACTCGGTAGCTAAACAAGGCACAATAAAATTACAAACTTCATCGGGCAAATGTACAAAATCCTTGTGTAGTTCTCAAGTAACAATCGCTAAACTCAACTTGATACTATTCAATTATTACAACAGGAAGTTGGCAACTTACCACAAAGCAAAACAAATGAAGTTGGTAGTCACATGCCCCTGTATAATTACAAAGAGAAATAGCACTCTAGACAATAATATCACACGAGAATAGAAAATGTAAAGAGAAAAAACAATGACAAGAAAACATTTAACAAGCAGTTTTCAAATCGAACCCATCTGTGTTTGGCACTTAAGAAAGTTCCTCCTTACAACAAGCCTGCCTCACCACAATCTGTGAACACCAACACAAATTAGCAATTTAGCGGCATACTGAATGACAGTTGACCACATAGCAAATGAGTATTAGTTTACTTTCAGCTGGGTAAAGATTACGCTTGTGAATTAGGACCCTAGTTTTACATTGCCTCTTCTACTATTGATTTTTTTCACGTTGAACCTTCAATTATTTCTAGTTTCAGAAGGGAAAAAAAAAAACCTTTAACTGCTTGAATTTGTTTCA